TGTTATTATTGCTATTTGTAAAAATATTTAGGCTTTACTCAATATCCTTTGGGTTTTTTCTTTTCTTTTTTGGTATCTAAGGTCATTTATTCATCGTGGTTACTTTAGAATGGCTATGATTTCTGAAATATGTATTTAACATTTTGGATTTTTGATAAGAGTAGGCAAGAATAGCCAAGAATAGTGTGGATTTAAGGTGAATACGAAATGAAAGTTATATTTAATGCTAGTATGACGTTAATTTGGCTTTTTGTTAATGTATCCCGAAATGCTAGTGAGATTGTCTCTTGGTAACATTTCACTCCCCTCCCCCCCTTTATTTATTTATTTTTTTGGCTTGGAAGGAATAAGGTCAGATATATACTTATTTTATATTTGTAGGGGGGAAAACAGTTTAAGAATACCCTGTTCAAACAATTGCCAATTCTGTGTTTCAATATGTCTGTACTTTTAGTGACAAATGGAGCACCGAAACCTTATAATAAATGAAGACATTGATCCCACTAAGCCCCCTATCACCATTGTTAATAAACATAGTGCTAAGAATTCTAGCCAGTGAAGTGAGGCAAGAGAAATAAAAAAAGTATAACTTCTGAAAGAAATAAAACTCTCATTACTCTTAGATGATATGATTATGTAAATGATTTATCCTTAGGTCTTCTTGGATTTTTTAGAATGTTTAAGAAGTGTGACTACAAATCAGTACTTTAAAAAAATTCTATTTCTGTGTGCTAACAGGCACTTCTTTAGAAAATGAAATTAATAGCAAGGCCATTTATAATAGAATCAAGAAACAGGAAGTTCCTGAAATATTCCTGACAGAGAAAGTACAAGATCTCTAGGGGGAAATTGTGAAGCTTCATGGAGATATTGTTGTTTTTGTGTGCATGTCTGATTGTGTGTTAGAACTTAAAAATCTAATTTAAAAAATTTATGGAAATATAATTTATTTAGAATAACCAAGACATTCTTGAAAAAGAACAAGATGGGATGACTTGGTTTGCTAGGTATGGAGTGTTATTACAAAGCCATAGTAACTAAGATATGTGTCATTTGTATAGGGATAAACAAACCAACCAAGAGAACAGAAGAAAGAGCCCACATCAGACTCATGCATGTATGGATGCTTGACCTGTGATCTCTGAGGGAAGGGCAGCTTTTTAAATAATCTGACCTGAACAACTGGGTTTCCACATAGTAAAGATAAATTGAGACCCTTGTGTTTCACTGCTCAAAAGTGTAAACATCACCTTAGGTAGGTTATTGGCCTAAAAGTGGAAGGTAAAACTATAAAGTTTTCAAAGGCTGTAGAAGTTAACATAGGACAATGTCTTCATTACCTGCAGGTTGGGAAAGATTTCTTAAACAGGAAATAAAAAGCACTAGAGGAAAAGATTGATAAATTGGACTGTATTAAAGTGAGAAACTTGAGGTTATTAAAAGATGCCGTAAAGACAGTGAAAAGGTAGACTCAGAATAGGAAAAGATATTTGCAATATGCAGCTATAACATTGTAGTATCCAAAATGTATGAAGAATGAATCAGTAACCTTTCCCTTTAGGGTAGGGATGAGGGAGAGTGATGGGGAAGGAATGCAGAGGAAAGCCTCTATGTGGTTTCACATGTCCTCATTCTTGAAACGGTGGCATCACTTTTCTCTAACCTGAACTTATGTTTTATGCATTTATCTGAATAGAAGCACATTTCTTAACAAATGAGAAGAAATGAAAACAAATAGTTATTATGTTAGTTTGCTAGGGCTGTCAGAACAAAATACCAGAGACTGGGAGGCTTAAACCACAGAAATTCATTTTCTCACAGTTCTGGAGGCTGGAAGTCCAAGATCAAGGTGTCAGCAGGTTTGGTTTCTCTGGAGGCCTTTCTCCTTGGCTTGTAGGTGGCCACCTGGTCGCTGTGTCCTCACATAGTCCTTCCTCTGTGCGTGAGCATTCCTGGCGTCTCTGTTTCTAAATTTCCTCTTCTTGTAAGGACACCAGTCAGATTGGATTAGTGCTCCCCTTGAAGGCCTCGTTTTAACTTAGTCGCCACTTTAAAGGCCATGTCTCCAAATACAATGGCATTCTGAATTGTGTTAGGAGAGACAATTCGGCCACAACACTAATTGTGTAGTCAAGATCTTGAATAGTAAATGGGTTTTTGTGATAAATTTTCCCAAGCCAATTTTTGGATTAAAAGAATCCTATATCAAAAAAAAAAAAACCCCCCCCCCCCCCCCCCACACACACACAAGTAAGATGGAAGTAAAGGTGCTGTGCTCTGGAGAACTGCTAACAGACTCACACTGTGGCCATGTGTGTGTAAATGTGGAACACAAAACAGCAATTGCAAATTAAATTAAAGTATCTTTTATAAGTACTTTCAAATATAAATGTATAACCAAATGAATAAATGATAGTATAAGCAGAAATTTTAGTCTCATCTTCATCCCTACACTTACAAATTCTAATTGGCAAAAATTTTTTAACTCCTTTTCACTGGGAGAAGAGGGGATGCATTTTATTTGGGCATACATTGTGTTTTTATTACAGTAAGCTCTATTATAACACAGTTTTTGTATTCCTAAAATCCACTCCACTGTGTAAATCATGCAGTGAAAACCACAGGCTTATGGGAAATTGGAGGCACAACACTCAAAAACGTCAGTGACACTTAAAAGCATAGGAACCTAATAGAAACAGCAGCATAGTTTTATACATGTTAAATACTTATGAAATACATAAATATTATAATGAACATGGCACTTTACCTTAAAAGACACCGAAGTTTTCTTGGAGAAGTGGGCATTGGAAAGGTTGCAGTGTGTGAGTTGTTGTGAAGTGACGGGAAGAGGGTATGTTGTAATAACATGTAGATGAGTGTGGCTCATGATAAACTGAGGTAGCTGGTAAGTGACTGGAGGTATGTGTGTGTTTTGTGTGTTCCTGTATGGCTTGGGTTAGCTGGCTGCAGTTTTTTGCATTCATCTAGGGCAGTGATGGCAGTGATGAACCTTTTGAGCTCGGCGTGTCAGCATTTTGAAAAACCCTAACTTAACTCTGATGCCGTGTCACATATAGAAATTTTTTGATATTTGCAACCATACTAAAACAAAGACTTATATTTTTGATATTTATTTTAAATATTTAAATGCCATTTAACAAAGAAAAATCAACCAAAAAAATGAGTTCGCGTGTCACCTCTGACACGCGTGTCATAGGTTCGCCATCACTCATCTAGGGTTTCTACAGGTAAAATCATGCATAAGCAAAGACAAAATGCTTGCTATGCTCAAATTATTGCTTAATCATGTTGGAACATATTCGTGTTTACAAATAGCAGAACTTGTTAGATGTAATTTTAAAGAAATCGTTTGTTGCCCCATCTTGTTCTCTTTACCTGCTTGTAAGGATTCTGCGTAGACTCTTTTTACTGAGCCTTTAAAATGACTGCCTAACATAATGCTACACACCACGTTAAGTGTATTTTGAGTTTTTCCAGGCTAATGAATTGGGTAATTTGGGAGTAGAATCAGAGTTCTGCTGGAGTGTGGTGGGTGATCACAGGAAAACATCAGTTCTTTGGTTTCAAGCAAGTGCGTTATGTTCAATGGCCTCCTGGCTTTCATTATTGCTACCAGAATACCTTTAAACCATAACCTGAACCAATATTAAACAGTGTGTGGTTGGTTATGTTTGGGGGATCCTTCCCATTCATTTCTTGCTTTTATCCTCTGTAGCCATTTTATATCAAAGTTTAGCAATAACAGGTTTCTGGGAGAAGTCTTATTCTTTCATTCTCTCTCACTCCTCTGGCATATTTGGTTGGTAACAGTGAGGGCACGTGAAATGCTACTCCTCGTTTTCCTACCAGTTGTTTGTTTGTTTTTTTTGTAACTTTTAAGACCTTTACGTTGATGCCCTGAACCAGAAAATCAACTTTCTTTCACAGCATTTCCATTTCCCTTCCTGTCTAGGCATTTCTCTACGTTTCTGTAGTCCTCTGTGCATGCATCCCTCTTATAGTATACTAGAGGCCCGATGTACGAAATTCGTGCAAGAGTAGGGCTTCCTTCCCCCGGCTGCTGGCACCGGCTTCCCTTACAGCCCTGGCTTCGTCCGGAAGGTCCTCTGGAAGGACGTCCAGTCTAACTAGCACATTATGCTTTTATTATTATAGATCATATTGTGTTCTGCAAAGTTGGGCTGTCTCTCTGAATAAACTGCATATTTCTTGAGGGCACGGACTATATTTTTATCATTTTTTCTATATAGCAGAGTGTTTGCAATGCTGGTTAGGTGAGTAGATGGTTGAATGAATGAAGTGAGGCTGAAGAGAACTATCCATATGATCCTATAATTTGCTTCCCCCCCATTTTGACTAAGTTACATAATCTCAGTTACTTGGTCATTTGATCTTAAGGGTTTTTGCAGTGCAATAGTAAAATTTACTTTTGTGGAACCAGTGATTCTATACCATCTGTTTTGTATTTTGGAGGTTTTTTGCTATAAATAATAAACAAGCATGGCTGATTAGCAACCTTTGGGTTGAGGCTTTTTGGCACAATAGAATAGTAAAATCCTATTTTTAACCTTGCTGCTTTGAAATTTAAAAATATATATTGATTAAATGAAATCATCTCCAAAGGGAGGAGTATTTCTTTTAAGATAATAAGGAGAGCCCTGGCCAGGTGGCTTAGTTGCTTGAAGCATCATCCTATAAACCAGAATGTTGTGGGTTCAATTCCCTGTTGGGGCACAACTGGGTTGTTGGTTCGATCCCAGTCAGGTTGCATATGGGAGGCAACTGATCCATATTTCTCTCACATTAAGGTTTTTCTCTCTACCTGCCTGTCTCTATGAAATCAATAAAAACAGCCTCGAGTGAGGATAATAGATACATAGATAATAAGGGGGAAATGTTACGGCTCAATTCTTGATTATTATTGCAACTACATAAGTAACTTTTGAATTGTTTTTAAGACTTCCTTTTTCTTCTTATAGGACCTCTTTATTGTTAGACATGAATTGGCCATAATGAGACTAGCTGCCTTTATGGGCATTACTATGTTAGTTGGAATAACTGGACTCTTTTATACTCAACTAATTGGCATCATCACAGTAAGTATATTTTTAATGTAAAATATTGTATTTATGAACATATTCCCTAAGTATGAACTTAATTCTAAAATGTTACAGAGAGTTTAGAAATTAGAGGAGAAAATTACCCAGAGTCATTTATCCCCATTTTCAGAAGCCTGTGTAATTTTAAAGTAGTTATAATCAGTGTACAGAGTATACATACAATTTTTCATCCTGCCTTTAAAATTTAGCATAAACTATTTTTATATAGCTATAGACTCCATAAGTAATCTCTCCCCTGTTGATCAGGGTCAGTGTGCAATTATTGTTTTCTATATTACAAAGAACACTACTTTGTGGAAATGGAGTTAATGATAGAAACATTTTATTAGTAATTAAATCTTATTTTTGCATGTACATATTAGCTAAATGGGATTTAGCACAACAGAAAAGATCAAAAAGTGTGAGAAATATTGATAAGAACTTAAAAGTTTGACAATACATGGCATTGCAGAAGAGGTAGGGTAAACACTTTCTCCTATATTGGTTGGGGTATAAATTGGTATATCCTTTTTGAAGGACAAATTGTCAGTGTCTGAAAATTTAAAATGCACAGTCCTTTCTCTACACATCCTGTAGAGACTATTTAATTATATGTAAATAAACGTAATTTTAAAAAGATCTTCATTATTATACTATATATAATATATGTATTATATATGAAAACTTAAGTGATTATCAGAATGTATTCAATGAAAGAAATTTATAGTAAGAAAAAAACACATCAGAATTTACTATAAAGCAATAGTATTCAAGAAAGTATGGTACCGGCATAAGGATAGACATATTGATAAATGAAATGGAATCGAGGATCCAAAGTATACACGTATCCTTATGGACAATTATTTGCAGTAAGGGTGCCAAGACTGTTTAATGGGGGAAGATAAAGTCTTTTCAAAGAAATGCTGCTGGGACAACTAGCTATCCACATGCAAAGGAGTAAAATTAGACCCTTACCTCACGCCATGGACATACTAGTATATGAACTCAAAATGGACCATATACCTAAATGTAAGATCTGAAATTATAAAAATTATGAAACTCATAGAAGAAAACATAGGAGCAAGTCTTGGGTTAGGCAGTACTATCTTAAATATGACACCAAAAGTGCAAATGACCAAAGAAAAAAATTGATAAATTGGACTTACTCAAAACTTTTGTGATTCAAAGGACACTATTAAGAAAATGGGGGTGTGTGTGAGAAAACAGCTCACAGAATGGGGGAAATATTTGCAAATCATGTATCTGATAAGAGACTTGTATATAGAGTATATAAAGAACTCTTATAACTCAATCATAAAAAGACATTCTAATTAAAACATGGGATAAGGATCTACATGGGAATTTCTTCAAAGAATATATACAAATGGACAATAAATACATATAAAGATGCTCTACATCATTAGTCATAAAGGAAATGAAAGTCATAACCATAATGAGGTTTTGACTATAATAAAAAATACACCAACAAACGTTGGTGATTCATTATAAAGTGCTTATAGTGTAGTAATTCAATCATAAAGTAATTCACAATTACAGTAATCCCTCGATTTTGCAGACCTCGATTTAATGGACTTCAGATTTAATGGACTCAATTTCCAGTCTGTAGTTCATACGTGAAAATTAACACCCTATTAATTTTAAAATGCTTTTAACCAAGATTTGCTTATAATTAAATTAACGGGTTTTCTTGTTTGTTTGTTATTCGTTTACTGGCATTTTAAAAAAATTTTAGTGAATAAGATAAAATAATTAGAAATTACTTAAATTTAAAAATAGTGGATTTCTAATCAATTTCCAAGGTTAAAAGTCAACACAACCAGATGTTTCTGTGGACTAGACTGATCTTAAGCCCAATTTTAAAGGATTATCTTTGATTATTTTTAGATTTAATTTTAAACAGGATTTAAATATATGTGCTTGTATATTTTTACTAAAATTAATATTGAAGTTAAAGTGTTTTCAAAGCAATCAACTTTAAAGCGTTCTTTATTTAGGGAACACAGATTATTCTAATTTTTCCTTAGACTGTTTAGTCTTTTTTTTTTCTGTTTCTGAATGAAATGGGTAGTGATGGTAGTTATTAGTGTAATTGATGTCAGAATTTCTTATTGAGCAATAGTTCACACACAGCCAAGAATAGTGTCCATCTGACAACCACCAATACGAATGGTGCTGGGTGATGGTGTCAGTCATGTTTCCAGTCACTGGGCTTGGAGAGAGTTAATCAAGAAGTGCAGTAACAGCTGGCCCAGCGCTTCTGGCGAGCTTCTGACAGTGAGCTATTGTACGTGTGACAGTGCTCTGACAGTTTCTCTGAATGTTGTATACAGGCATTTTTGTTTTCTGGGCACCGTGGAGTTTATGTAATAGATTAAGCTTTTGGTGGGGTCTCTAGGGCTTAGTGTTTTTCTTAGTTGTGGTGAGGTTTGGGGTAGGGTGGGGAAGATGTATTTACTTGCAGTTTTGTAAAAGGCTTTAAATTCTCAAAGAAAAAATTGAGTTTTTGCTTTTGTCTCACAGGTACTATTGTTGGACTCTGCTTGAATTGCTAAAGGTAGCTTAAAGCAAAGCTTTTCCAGTTAAAAGGGGAAAATGTCTTTCCCCTACCCCGCCCCAGTACTGGCTCATGGTTACCTAAATAAATACAGAAAGAATTACAGTGCAGGGGTAACTTAATTTTAACTTGGTTATATTATGCAATGAAAAGTATCTTATGTTCACCATGTTAAATTAGTTTAAATAGATTATCTGTTATATAACATTCTCATTAGCAGACAGTTAGTGGGTTTACCTGCCTTTTAATATATACCCAGAAATGTAGTTCTGAGATTATTAATCCTTATAGTTAAATTTTGCCAAGTATCCCACTGAGTCAGTGTGGTGAATTAGCAGCATTCAGTACAATCTCTGTACAAATTATGTTTGGTTTACTCAACTCCAAACCAGCATTGCAAATATGGAAAACAATTTAAATCTATTTGTGTAATAGTGTAGGGGAATAGTGCATTTTAATTTTCTTAAAGCATTACTAATTGCTTGAGTGATTAAATAGATGTGTTTTTATTTGGTTAGGAGGCTAAACACTTACGAGTTTTTCTTTTACTTGCAATTTTCCACACATCGGATTTTAATCTGACTTTAAAACATTATAGGATTGGCGAAAACAGTGACTCATTTATAGTAACTTGTAGGCCTTCTCTCTGTCATATTCCGTCATTAGGTTAGTTACTCTCCATGTCCCAGCCAAAGGAGCACATTTGCTCATCTTCTATTGATAACCAAAAATCCTGCTGAAAGTAGAATTTTGTATTAAAAATGTAAGAGTAGTAAACCTTATGTGTTGATCACAAACATAATTTTTCAGCTGTTTCCAGTGCTTAGTGTAAGGCTTATTTATACAATATATTAGTGTGTGTAATCATCCTCTCTGGAATCCTCTGTGTTTCTGTATAATTATTTCTTGTAAACTTGACTGATTTCACTAGCCTGTAAGCTCCTGATGCTAAGGACTGTGTCATAATAGTTTCTTAGTAAATTTTTGGTAGATGGATTAATGAGTAAATGAATCTTGGCTTATGTACTTAGTACTTGGTTTTCAACTAGGTTGTGGACGTTGGATTTTATTAGCATAGTCACCCACAGTCCTGGTCATTTTAACTTTTATGATAAAAACCACGCTTTTATTTAAACAATTTTTAAAAATTGCATCCTGATATAATTGAGATAGTGTATTTTCAAGCCTTTTCAGAAAGTGTTTAGTAGGCAATATGAGATAAGAATGATGACCACCATTTATTGAGGAGTTATTAAGGGCTCTAATGTATATTAACTCCTTTAGTCACTGTAAAAGACCTATGAGGTAAGTATTATTATTCAAAAATTGAGATACAGACTTGTAGTAACTTCCCTAAGGCTTTATATAGCCCGAAAAGAAGTATTGAAATTATTTTGGAAAGAGATTTTCAGTGACTATATACATGTAAGATCTCCTGTCCTCTCACTTTAGTTCCGTGATAGATTAAATCCTTATGTGAATTTCAGATTTCTAATAAACTATATAGCTGGCCCTCTGTTGGAGATGGATGCTTAAAGAGCCATTTATTTCAAATGAGGAATAGCATGAGTTCTGGCTTCAGAGGAGGGGAAAGAGCTAATAGTATCAGGAAATGCTTTCTCTTTGCACTGCTGATATAAATTAAAATTAAGGAATCATGCTATTTCTGTCCATGTTCAGTTTGTTTAGTGCTGCAAACATATATTCAGTACTCACTTGGAACAATACATACTAGTAGATGCTATGGAAGATGCAAAGTTAAATGAGCTTTTTGCTATCCGTATGTGGATCAGAGGTGCTAGAAAGCCAAGCATAGGTTTACCTTAGAATTAGTAGAAGTTAGTAATAAATAAAACAGGTATACAATCTCTAGTTCTGAAAAACTTTTTTGAATAGTTCATTAGTTCAATTTAAATCCACAGAATCAGGTATGTATAACAGTGTTAGAAGCATAATAACAGCAAAGAGTGCAGGCGATGACTGAGGTAAGATTGAATTGTCTTCAGGGAGGCTTTCAGATAGAATGTTCTTACTTATTTCAAGTCTTCAGTTTGGCAGGTCTAGAAACTCCATTTTGAACATGTTCGTAAGCTTTGCACAGTGGCAGTAGCATAGCTAATGAGGTTTATCCAAGATGCAATTATTACTAATCAAAAATGTTTCCAGAGTAATGAGGCCGAGAAGCAGTGATTCTTGCTTCCAGACTTAAAAGTGATAGTTATAGATATAAAGGAGATTGTCAGGTGTGTCAAAGGACTCTTTACATTCTTCTTCCCTGTGACAACATATATGGCAAAGTGTTGGTGAGAATGAACTCAAAGCAGGTTAAGTTAGTTGGATGGATTGTATCATCAAAGTATCTATTTCAAGAGATAGATACTCAGGTCTGTCAACCAGGAAACTTCTGGTGATAAATTCTTCCTCTTTGCCCCTCTCCCTCCAACTTTTCTAGTAGGCAATGAATACCTCCCTCTTATTTTCTGCTAGGACCCCCCGCCCCCCCCACACACACACACTTTAGATATAATCTTATTAGTTAGGACACCTTTTTTTAATAATCATATTTTCTTAGGTTGAGTCTGAAAGATAATTTCTTAGGGTAAGGTCAGCCATCTGGAAAATTATAAAGTACTGATTGATTTAAGTAAGACCTACATTTCTGTAAGTCTTGCTATTTCTAGTTTATTCTTTTTTTTTTTTTTTAGAAAATAAACTTTCAGTTTCTAAAAATAGGAAAGCATTCTCATATAGCTCTTAGTTATGCAGGCTAAAGAAAGTCTTAGCTATTTGATCATTAGACCATAATCAAAACATAAATATTTCTCTGGAAATAAGATATTCTGATTGTAGAGAGCATAAAATAAAAACTTATTTCATATTATTCCTTGAAGAATGAATTTTTCTGGATAGCTGAATTTTACATATAACTAATAATTTATATTTATACTCCTCCTTAAAGATAGCAGTTATCTTATTTGTCATTTTCTGATGGCCACCAAAGGCATTGAATCTTTTATATTGAATGGAATTAGTTATGTGCACCAAAACCTATTTTAATTAGTCTTTGTGTGTGTTTCCCTATAGTATTCCATATTTCTGTGCATTATAAGCAGAAAAAAGTATTTCAGATCTAATTTGGCACTTGAAAATAGCTTACGGTTTTCCATGTTCCAGTGAATAGTAACTTCTTCCTTTTTCTAGTTTGCTGTTTCTGTTGTGCTTATGACTATGATAGCATAATTGTACTTTTTTCTTATAACATGAGTCAGGATAGCTGAGTTTCAGAGAGGTAAGCATTTGCTATTTCTAGAGGAAAAAATAGCCTTTATGTCTACCCTCACAAATTATGTTCATAAAGTCATGATAAATGTCCCATCCTCTGATAGAATAACCATCTGTTTATGATGACTTAATAGGCAATAGTCTACTATTTTCTTGAACCAGATTCTAGAAAGGTGTCAGAAGCACTTGAAAAGAAAAGCTTTTCCCATATGAAGTCTAAATCCAAAGTCTTTAACATTGATTCTTTTTTTTCCCTTAATATATTTTTGGAGGAAGAGAGAGGAAGAGAGAGAGAGAAACATCAGTGATGAAAGAGAATCAGATTGGCTGCCTCCTCCACGCCCCCCCATTGGGGATTGAGCTCGCATCCTGGGCATGTGCCCTGACTGGGAATCCAACCGTGACCTCCTGGTTCATAGGTCGACACTCAACCTCTGAGCCACATAGGCCAGGCAAAGTTGATGCTTTTATAGCCACAAATAAATTCCTCAAGGTTGTAATTGGGTTGTAAATTTCTACACAGTAAAAATTTCCTGTAATATTAGGCTGACATTGTAATTGCTTTTTTATCTTGAAATAGTTTCCATTTTTTAAGTATTATCCACAACTGCAATTTTAGTCCATTTATATATACCTTAACTAATAGCACTTGACTTCTGTCTTATCTTTTTGTATTTATGCACAACTATCTTATTGTTTTAGAACAACCTGTCACCCTCAGTTCTAAGACACCATTAAAATTATTGTCACTTTCTATGCAGATATGAAACCAGAGGCTCAGTTTTCCTTAAAGTCCCTAATCAATGCTGTCATGTATTTGCAGACTGTGTTTTCACAAAGTAAAACATTATTTTGAGGAAATTATGCAACAGAACCATGAAAGGTTCATTATAGGTAGAATTGTCATTGGATATCATGAATTTCAAAGCATAATAGGAAAACCAATTAATAGAGAGTACTAGTATGTAGCTAATCTTCAGTCTTGTCCCAAATTCCTAGGTAATCTGGAAATAAAATTCTGTTATTGGTTACTTAGACATCTTAAAAAAAGATTAATTTTTCTGTATTTGGGCTAACTCTAGTCATTCTACTGTTCATGTGTAAGAAATTAATATTATAGCTATTTCTGTAACTTCTATAAAGAGTCTTTTAAATTGAAGGTGCTTTTTATTAGTTTAATTGGAGGAAAGTTTTACAACCAAAAAACTTCTTGGGATTGCAGTTGAAACCATAACTATTTGCCTGAATAGTACTGCTTAATAACAGTACAGACCACCTACCGTATGTGAGCAAGCTAGTAGAGGAGAAGAGGAGAATAACTTCTGTAACTTTCTGGTATATTTAAAAGAAGTTATTTTCTTTTATACTACCTTAAAGCACATTTAAAATGTAAATATCTAAACTAAGATTATGTACTTTATTTTGATTATTATTTAGATAATCAGTTTCTCAGTCTAATGATAGATCTTCTGTTAACATGAGTTGAACCAGCATATATAGAAACTACCTTTTGTTTGTTGACTCGTTTTTCTTATATATTCGTTAGAGCCTTATATAAAATATATAATAAGAAATTGTATTATTATGAAGAGGCTGATTTTTCTGTTGAAAAAGGAAATTGTTTTTTCACCAAAGGACTCTGATGAGCTCACTTCACCTTCAGAGCACTGGGGGTTGTGGTGTGGCAGGTGCAGGGGCCTTGTTGAGTCTGTGTCTTCTCAGAAGTCCAAGCCCAGCAGCACTCTTTGGCTCTCTGTGCATTAGGGCCTTTATTTGTCATTTTTGGTATTTATTTTTTAATGCATATTCACTGGCAGTTGAATTAAAAGTAGATACTGGACTTTTAAAAGAATTGTGAAGGAAGGAAGTATAATTAAAATATTACATAATGAAGCGAGACTCCTACAGTTTTTGTGAGGTTTTGTAATTGAGTAATATTTGTGGAGTGGGAGTACAATGTAATTTTTATTCTGTTTTTTTCCCCAAGGAATTTCAGCAATGTCTGTAGATAATTTAGAAATCGTATTACTCATATATAAGCTGTTTAAATCTTCAGAATATTCTCTGGATATGATTTTAAAACATTAAAAATTAATATAGAATAAAGCCTTAATAACTTTGTTCTGAGTATTTTTCTTAATTTTTAATAGGATACAACATCTATTGAAAAGATGTCAAACTGTTGTGAAGAAATGTAAGTATAAAAGTGAAGTCTATAGAGTTATTAAAAATGGAAACAACTGGCCACATTTGAAACAATGTATGCATGTAGTGGAAAGATAATAGAATGATGGTTTTTTCTTAGAGCCTTGTCTAAGGCCTGAGCTAGGCAGGCATAACCCAGTCTTACATCTGGGGTCTTATAGCTATGCTAGTTTTCATACAAAATAAGTACTATCATTCTTGTTACTTGTCTCACTAAAGTAAGTTAAATTATTTGTCCTGAAAGTACATCAAAAGAGATCTGCTACTGTGATGTTGACACACATTCTGTTAATCCTGAGATTCTCCTCCGCTTCAAAAGTTGCCGTAGGTTGATTGACGACACAGATACAATATCTGCTCTCCAGAGTTAAAACTCAGCTGCATGCCATAATGAAAGAAAAGCTGTATTTGTGATGCTGGAACACAATTCATCAGAGTCCTGTAATGGATCCCCAGCCAACCTGTATTGTTTTAGCTGACTGAAGTGCACCATGGGAGTGCTGTCTTTCACTAATAATGCTGTCTTCTGTAGATCGAGGCCCCGAAAGCCATGGCAGCAGACCTTCTCAGAAGTTTTTGGCACTCGTTGGAAGATCCTGTGGTTTATTCCTTTCAGGCAGAGGCAACCACTGCGAGTTCCCTACCACTTTGCCAATCACGTCTAAACAGATGGATGGTGGGCACAGATGGGTCCTCCATGCTGGAAATGCGTTACAGGTTTTCTGATAATAGAACGATGACAGTCTTCAAGTCAATTAAAATCCACCCACCAATCTTAGGCATCATAATGTGCCCCAGGCTTCATTTTAATAGTGATCTTGATCCTGTTGTGGGAGTAACACAAGATCTATATTTAAGTTTCAAAGCATGTTTACTTTCAAATTAGCTTTCCACGGGGATTTCTTAAAGTGCTTTTGTTATTAAACTCAAAAGGCAGTGATTGGGATGAAATAATTGTACATAATTTCTTTTAGCACTGACAATATTACAGATTTTAATTTATGGGAATTTTCAGATGTTTATTTAAAATTTTCACTCTTGAGCAGTACTAATCAAATCTGAATTTAATTCTTCAGCTTTTACAAAAGGTTTTACACCTTATATGTGAAATTTCTTTTTCAAGTACAGTTTAAAATATGTTAATACTTTTATATATGCTGCAAGATTTTTTTTAAATGCAGCACAGGATTGAACAACAAAAAAAAGGCAGTGTTTTCTTAGTAGCTTTCTAATGGTTTCTCTTCACCAAAAACAAAATACCACTAAAATAAAGCACCAACTATCTACCTTATGTTAAAGGAAAGATTAAATGTTTTTCCATGTTAATTTTTCTGTTTCTTTTCCCTGTACTGTTTTAAGTATTGGTTGTTGTTAATATATTTGTTTTGAGGAGAAAACTTTGACTAAGTGGGCATGTATTCCTATTGTACCCTAAGATTTTGGTGAGCAAATGGATAGAGAATTTGCAATAATTCCACAGATATCTTTTTTAGTGCAGTTATACCAGAATGTGTGTTTTTAAAATGCTAATATAACTAGAAAATATATAATGTACAGTATAAAGAGGAATATTGTGCTTTTGAAAAATATATATACTTTTTGCTTTTATTTACCTACTAGTAGATCTAAAATTACACAATGAAGATTTATATATAATAAATATTGGCCAACTATTCCTGAAACAAAACTACAGGAAATTGCTAGTAAAAGTAAATAACTTTTGTGTACCTACAATCAATCAGCCAAATTGAATTTAAATTTTAATGGGCCAACTATAATTTGGATTGAGAGACCTTTTTTTGTAGCTAATGTTAGGAAATAGCCTTAAAATAAGAAAATATAATGATCTACATTTATCATTAGCCTTACACAAATTTAAATTGCTAACAGTGATGGTCTCTTAGAAAGCATAGAACATTTGTATAAAAAGAACTTTAGCATACTTAGAAAAAAAATTCAGCTTTAACATTTTTTCCATTAGAATACTGCAAAATCCATATATCTTTTTTGAAAATTTATGTACTCACAGTCTTTCTCTTGAATCTTAGAGAAGATTGAAGGGGTCTACTGTTCTTGGAACCCATATCAGTAGTTTCCTTTTACTTAGCTTTGATAGTAGGGAATCATACCTGAGAAATCATGAAACAGAAAGTTGCCATATCAGCCAGTTAACTGTATTGTGGTTAATTCTTTCAGAAACTATCTTCAAAATAATAGAATTAGCTGTTCTCAGAAATATAAGTGCCATGTCTTACATGTTCTGATTATAATGCTTTATTATTTAAAAGTATAGAAGTGGCAGATGAAAATATGTATTGGTGCTGATAAAATGCATAGTAAATTTAATATGAGAAATTTATTTGTAGAACTTAATGAACCACAAAATCAGTATGTTCATGTAATGGAAATGGGTTGGGGTTTGTGCAAACTAACATATTGACCAAATTTGGCCTGATGGGGGAACTGTTTTAAGGAAGTAATATATAGATGATACAGATAGATATCAATTGATTGCTCTGCCTATAACTGGACCTTGAGAAAACAGTGAAGTGTCAAGTGAAGATCCCTTAAAGAGCGTTATATCCCTTAAAGGCACAGTTACACTTCATATAGTACTAGTTACCTTGAAAGGTACCTGGGAGGTATTCAGAGCCAACTGCTGCCTCAGTGATGAGAACCAGAGGTAGTCCCTTTCCCACTCTAAGAGGGTTTTGTTTTTCTTAGATTACCATTTCTAGGGCACATTCTCTTTCCTCTTTATACCCTCGCTGATCCGATCCCCCTGTACCTGATTCCCCTGGTACTGGTTTACAAACTAACACACTAGGCAAGGCAGATATTTATTTTGTTTGAATGATAGAAATGCTACGTATCAATATATTTATATAAGATTCTATATTAATGTATATCTATATATACATGTGGTTTAATTTTCAGTATTCTCAAATTAGCACGCCTAACTGTGGGTTTAGTCCTTGTTAGACAACTTGAGAAAAACCAGCGGGTAGTTTCCTAGGGAGTGCCTGAACTCTAGTGCTCTCTCTGCGCCCTCTTTTGGCTAATTGGTGTAATTATACTGGCTCTAGAGACTTACTGGCCCACAAGTAAATTGTATGGCCAAATTCTAAACCTGTCAGAGGTACAAGCTTAGGGGAGTGTATGTGCAAGGCTGTTATATTTTATGAAAATTAATGTGTTCCTGTTTATGATGATATAGTTCATACAAAATGATGACTAGTTTGCTTCATTTGTGTATGTTCATATATATATTTGCTGTCATTTACAAGTTTATATCAGATTAGGATAAACAAATGTAAACATTTCATGAATTTTTATTTTAAACCTTATTTTGGCAAATTAAGTCTTTAGAATTAGAAAAGTCATTACTTTAAAATTACCAATTTATTAGGAAACACAGAAATCTATTGTTACAGTGGTAAGCAAGTATCTAATGTGTTTTACTGAGTATCTAAAAAATACATTTAGTGTTTTTAATCTCAGTTTTGGAATGATTTTTTTTTTGATGATTCTGTTACACTAAAATAATGAGATTAGTAATTTTTTTATTCTTTTTAAACGTTCCTACTCAGAGTTATTGGATGAAATAGTTCCTTATAAACATTACATTTGAAGCAATATGTATTTGAAAGGATATTTTACTAAGCAAAGTCCTTAATTGGACTTCTGGAGATGAATTTTACGTAGATATTATATATTACACCTCTTGAACAATTATATTTGTTGTTGTTCTTTTCCTTAAACAAAAAATCTTTATGGGCTGAAGATTGTAAGCAGAAATTGATTGAGTTCTTATTCCCCAAACAGTAGGCATTCAGTTAAAGTGCTTTTGGTACTTTGTAACCAAGACTTACAGTTTAAAAATACTAAGTTATTTGTTCCATCATGAAAAAAAATACTATTTTGCTTAAGAGTTGTATTAAAAATATTTGTGGTTAACATGAGATAGCTATATTTAAATTTCTAGTTTATGTATTAATCTCTTTAACAGAAGAAAACAAAGTTTACTTTTAATAATAATAGTGGTAGAGAACATAAGCTACATAACATTCAGTAAAATGATGAAGTTAAAACTTCTGTGAGAATGAACATCAGTAAATTTTTGCTAATGTTTAGAGGTATTTTTCTCTAAGTATGGTAGCTAATTATAACTATACTTCATCAGGCTTTTTCAAGACACTTCTGTACAAGCAATTAGTTGAAGATATGTTTCAACCAAAAGGGCTTATTAATTCTGAAAGCTAACTATGAAGACTTAAGTTAGGACAACACTTCTAGCCAGGAAGTGTGAAGTAATTTAGATTATGGCCACACAGTCTTTTATGTGTTAGGTCATGGGGCAGTTTGAGTGTTCTCACATGAATTGCTATAAAATCTCAATGTGTCCAGCCCTGGTTTACAATGGCATTAATATTAACAAAGCTGCTAGTCTCTCTCTATATTTTTCTCTAGTCTCCAATGGCTTCCTTTATGCTTCATGGAGAAGTAGATCACCTAGCTCAAGTTTACTATACTTTAGCTGCTTCATTCAATAAGTTTTTTACATGACTTCTAATATACATAGATCTACCTAGAATTTATTTGGTGAAGTTTATACTTAACAATCATTAAATAATTTACTAATAGATACAGGGATTGGATTTTTTTACCCAATTCTGTTGCTTTAAAAAATACAAATATTGGCAAATGAGGTTAATAATCATGTACATTTAGTATGTTCTACTGGTTAGTTTTTTTTATTTACTCAGTATTTATTGTTTTTACCACTTCTAGAAATTATTCTAAGCCTTGAGAATATAAAAATATACAAAACATCCCTGCCCATAAGGAAATTACAGTTTACATACTTATGATATTATAGATGTCAACTTAAAAAAAGGCGTTCTAATTAGGATGTTAATGTAGTTATAATATTACCCCTTATATAATTAAAGAGTTGGAAAGTATCAAGAAAAGCAAGAAATTAGTATCTTAAATCAGAGGAAATATTAAGGATGATTTTCAAAAACATAATTCTGAAAATAAAGTAGCACTGAAAAGGTATCAAAGATGGCATTAAAAAATTTCCCCTATAGACATTTTTCATTAAAAAACTTTAGGCAAAACATGTGTTTACCTAGTATTGGCTGGATTTTTGGCCATTCTCTCTGTACTTCCAGTGCAGACTGCAGCTTAGCACACAGAAGCATATAATTCATGTCATCTAATAACGGACAGGTTATCCTATATTACACAAGATGTCCATCCTGGCAGTACTCCTTCTTCTATCTCTGACCACATAAACGATTCCCAAATATGTCCCCACACATGCACTCAAAGCGCAGCTCCACTCAACAGCCACCATTCAGCAGCAGCCTCAGCATCACCTCATCGTTTAGGGCATGCTGAATGGCAGGCACTGTATTCAGGACTTCTGTGCAATGGATATCAGTATTAGGAACAGCAAAATCCAGCGCAGTACTCCTCTCGTTGTCATAGCTCTTGGAAATGTGGTCAGCAAGCAGGTTATTGATGACAAAACCACTCCCAATGAGCAGTTCTAGGCACTCTGCTTTTGCCCATCTGCTGTTGAGTGAATGGGTGTTAGCCCACATTTCCAGATTGCATGCTTGGATGTTATTGGGATAAGATATTTCAGTGCAAGATAATGTCCCTCACAGGCAGCTCGGTGTAAAGGAAGATGTCCTTCTCTGTTAGGTACATGTTTGCTTCCTCCATATCCCCGGCAGGAGAGAAATGCAGTCAGGATTGCCCCCTCCTGCTGCCTCAAACAGCAGTAATGTCCCATCATTCGCCAAAGCAGACACATGACCGTCTTTGAGGATTAGGTGTTCAGCACATCACAGAGATCATACCCAGCAGTAGCACCTAATGGTGTGACTCCAAACTGTCTCAGGCAACATTGCCAGCAGAGCTATGAGATCTTTTTAAAATATATATATGTACATATATTACATATATATATATTTATTTCAGAGGGGAAAGGAGAGGAAGAGCAAGAGAGACATCAGTGATGAGAGAAAATCATTGATCAGCTGCCTCCTGCACACCCCCTACTGGGGATGGAGCTTGCAACATGGGTATGTGCCCCAACTGGGAATCCAAACGTGACCTCCTGGTTCATAGGTTGATGCTCAACCACAGAGCAATACCAGCCAGGCGTAGGTCTTCGTAGCCTTGTTTGGCTGCCTCATGCATGGCCAACAGTTGTTGACACAGGGCTGGTCAAGGCTGGTGGTGTGTTTGAGCTGAGCAGACACCATGTTATAGGAGCCCTTTTTTACAGCTTGAAGATTTTAAAAAGAACAATGGACAGTAGACCTATTAACATGAATATCTCAGATGACATTAAACAAGTTACCAAATTTAACATCAAAAGAGATGTTAGCTATTCCCTTCTACAAGAGAATATTGTATTTTTCGTACCCCTTCCATTTCTTATATCCAAATTTCTACTGAGGAGTGTCAGCATGCAGGATAATACCTTCTCTTTAAGACCCCAATCTGAGCAGGTTCAAGAGTTGCATGAAAGATAGTACACATTGCTAAGATGTTGCATATAATCTTTCTAAATGTTAATGTCTTCATTAACAAAATAAAAATAACATTCACTGTTGGATTGTATAAATTAAATAGTGTATGTAAAATGTTTCGTATATACTAGGAGTGCAGGAAATGATTACCATTGTTAGTAAAAGTACCATTTCATCACTTCTACGATCCTGGAACTACATGTGTAAATAAGGTTTATCACGTTCTTCCCCCTTTACAAAGAGGTGTGGTGTTCTTTTCTTCTCATGCTCTTAATGGGAGTTTAGCAATAGGAATGCTTAGAATCTAGGTAGGCCAGTTCTAAACAGATGAAGCATATGACAGCTAATGTACTACCATTTCAGAGGTTTTCTAAACCAGCTATCTCTTTCCCCCACTGCTGTCGCTAGTGCCTGAAATTACACTGTTTAAAGTGTTTTCCCCCTTTAGATTAATACCAGATTTTCCCAGCTTAGATATAACTATTTCTAAAAAAGGTAATGCATTTTCTCTTATCAAAAAGGGGGAAGAGGAGAGGACAAAGAGGGTAGGAGAGAGAGGGGAGGGAGGGAGCTACTTACTAATATTACTAACCTATAATTAACAAATGAATTAATGTGTTATTTCATGTTCATATTTGTTGCCCTCTATTCTAAGAATCATCCTCTGAATTTATATATAAATTTCAAATTTACAAATTTCATTATACTCTGAATTTAGCCATTCTCAACTAAATTTTAGAATATTCTGCAGTAGAATGTGAGAAAGTAATAGAACCAACTTTCTTAAAGTTTTTGAACCGATGTTATTATTCTATGTAGTATTTAACATTCTCTGCTGCTTTTAGGATGATGATGGTTTAACTTCAAGAGAGTGACTGTTTCCTCAGACATCTCATTTCATTATCATTGTGCAGTTTTTAACAACAAAATTTACTATATTTTCATCTGTTCTTTAGATGTTGTAATGTGCTAATTTGAAACAGAAGTAACAATGGTGTTTAAAATTATTAAGTCATTTGGTATCACCAGTGTTTTCCCACTACCATATTTTTTTACTAGTATGTCCTTTTCCTCTAGTCCACCATAGAGGACACAGAGTACAAATGAGTAGTGAGTAGCCAAAATTGGAGAAAGAAAATAGGGGTACTTATTAAGATGGTGAGAAAGCCAGGTGGAGCATGGAAAATAGCATCCCAGCAACAGAGTAGACTGGATGGAGTTCTGTGGCATCAGAAGCTCCCCCTGCTACCGTCATGTTAGCCTTCTCTCTCACTGTTAACCATTGTATTGTAAGAGTTAATGCATGTGAGCATTTAGTTTGAGTTATCTTATTGAAGGAGTTTATCTTGCTGATTCTCTTCAGCTGGTCAGATGCCTTTGAGAAGTTATTTTAAACAATAAAGTGTTAAGAATAATGTGAGAGGTGCAGCTATTTAATGCTGAGAAGACATGAATGGATTGCCCGGAAGTTCCATTGAAAAAAACTGGGACCTTTTTCACAAGTCTCCTACTGCAAAGAAAGGATACTGTCTCCTACTGCAAAGAAAGGATACTAAGTATTATAGTAAATTTTGTCACTAAAGTAAAAATCAAGAATTTATATAATAAGGGATGATTTTTCACTTTAAAATTTGGGCGATTTGGCGTTCTTGATACCTTGAAGGTCTCCATACCTATTAGTATTGTGAATGCCTGGAACATGTAATGTAGTGCTTGCCACAGTGGTTCAACACTCTGATCTTTTTAGTATTGATATTTTATATATTAACAGTGATGGGGGCAAAATGGCAACAAAAAAGGTATGTTTCTATTTGTGGCTTTGCTTGCTTGTTTGAGGAAATACAGGGTTTACTTGCACAGACTGTTAACTACAGGGAAAGGTTGTCTTCATGTTGCAAGTTCTGTGTTCTTGCCAGTGTTCATTGGGTGACATTTTCACCTGCTGGTGCCTGAAGTTAGTGTTTTACAACCTCAACAACTCAAACATCCTGGTGCTACTCATTTAGCATTGAGTGACGTTTTTATTTCCTGTACCAAAGAGTTAATTTTCTTTTTGGTTGACTGAGAGTTTCCTTCTCACATCCTTGTGTTTATAAAGTAAAGTTTAATGTTACTAAGAACAATTTTGATTAACATCTTAGTTTTTACACACTGCTGCCTCAATTTAATTGGTTTTAAAGGTCTCTCATTTGAACTTTTTTTTAGTTAGGCAGATTAGTATGGTTTTTTATTTTGTGTTTTAATATAGGTTGACTACTGTAAAAGTTTAATAGGTTGAAGTTGCAAAAGATAAAGCACTTTTCACAAGCTGTTTTAGTTTTGCTTTATTTCTGCAGGAAAAAATGAGAAATAATAAGAAGTCTACCTTTATTTCTATAAGTGAACTATCTAGCTTATCGAGCCCTTTTAATGAATGCTGAAGCAAAATGATAAAGTGCAAAGGTAAGGGCCCTTTCTGATTACCAATGAAGAACTCTGCTTCTTGCTCTGTGTAATCCTTAATGCCATTAAAGAGTGATACTGTCATTTGTCTATTTTGCAAACAAGGTTAGAATTAAAGAACACTTTAAAAATATACATATGCCAGGGTGTCCCAAAAATGTATACACACTTTGAATAATGATTAATTCTAATTGGTTAAATCTGAAAAGAAAGAAAAATCAATTGAGCTGTCAGCTGTTAAGTGTGTATACATTTTTGGGGACACCCTGATTATATAAACACTTCCAAAGAGGAAATGCAAATATACTTGATTTAAGCAAAACTGTAATAGAAAATTGAACTTTACAAAAAAAGGTCTCTATGCTGTTATTCACTTTACATAAAAAATTAAGAATAAGAGTATTTTAAAAACTTAATTCTTCTCAGTAATTCATTTTATAAAAAAAAAACGGAAGAAATAAAAACACCTTAGAAAAGTACATATAATTGTCCAAATGTAATATTGCTATGTATACTATTCTGGTTTTCTATGTTTCCTAAAACTTTCAAAATATTCATTGGGGACCTTAAAACTGTGGCTGAAATTGTTAAAGATTCTGGCAAGAAGATAACAGTATGTATATATTGGAAAAGTAGACAGTCACATTTGAGAATGTTTTGCATCATTTTCACTCAACAAATATTCTCTCATTGAATGTAGATACAATGGATTTGCAGTGAATTCTGAATGGGAAAAAGAATCAGGTCTGAAACTTACATGAAACATGACTTAGGATCATTTGAATGATATGTAAGAATACAGATATACATGTCATTAGCGGTAGAAGCAAAATTTGAAAGCAAAATGGGAAGAAGCAACAATATGTCTCTCTGTCAACACTATATTTCTTAGATTTTGTTGCCACAATATTAGTACTGAGTTATTCAGCTTGTTAATGCATTATTTAAATTAATGTGGCTGAATGCAGTTATTTATTCAAGTGATTGGGTAGTAGAGAGTTCACCATAACTATCCTCTGTCTTCCAGAGATGAATATTAAAAAGACATTTCTACTGTAGCATAGGTACATTAAAGCAGAGATGCTCAGACGTGAGTTGCAGGTCTGCGGGAGAACAGGGTAGGCTTTGGGCGGACTGAGCACAGGTGATTGTGCTTGTAGGAGCTTTATGTCCCTGGAATTAGCCTTTTAAAAAAATCTAACTAACAAGTTTAATGATTAGGCAAAATCTGTGATATTTTGAGACTTCCAGAATTGTGTATCAACCTCAAATTGTGTCTAATATTATATATCCCTAAAATAAAGGACATTTATTTTAATAATGGTATATTCCAAGTGCCATATAAAGATCCCATTTTTGTTTTTGTATTTTTATTGTTGACAGCATTGCAGATGTCCCTCTTTTTTCCCCATGACCCCTTTTAGCCCATCCCCACCCCCTGCCCAGGCCTTCACCACTCTATTGTCAGGGTCCATGGGTTATGCATATATCATACAAGTTCTTTGGTTAATCTCTTCCCACCCACCCCTGGCTTCCCTCTGAGATTCCACAGTCTGTTTCATGCTTCTGTGTCTCTGGATCTATTTTGTTCATCGGTTTATTTTTGTTCTTTAGATTCCACATATGAGTGAGATCCTGTGATACTTGTCGTTCTCTAACTGTGTAAAGATCTCATTTTTAAGTGATTCAGGCAGTTATTTCGTTGGGTGCATATGTTTACATCTGAGTGCTAATGCCACATCGTCTTTGTTACCTTGTCTGCTCCCCTAAGATTACTTAAAGTCTTCACTACCATTTCCAGTGCTGAAGGTAATGCTAATGGTAAATATGGAAAATAGTTGAGAAGTAAGAGACTGGATTGAGAAGAGGGAGGGGAAAAAAGGACAAGTGTAAGCCATGTGTCTGAGATATACTTGTTTAAATGAAGAGTCTACACTGGTTCTTAAAATGAAAAGCAAACTATGTACCTACCTTGAGGATAATGTTGTTGTTTAATTTATGTTAGTGATTTAGTTTTATTCTTGTAATAGTTCTATTTTTCTTTGAAGATTGTTTTTAATTTAAATTGTGGAATTTTTACTTCTCTTAAAAGGTATTATGTAATGTATTTTTAGAAATCTTATTTTTAAATAAATATTTTTTAAAAACATAGGACTGTCTTTCCCCCACTTCTTTATTTATTAAAATCAAACCAAATTCTAGACGATAGCACCGTCAGTATAATAGATAATTTTTTCAGTTTTATACAATTTGGATGACTTCAAAATTAGTAGCCTTAGGATATTGTTCTGCTGTAACCAAAAATTCACTGTGTGTTCAAGAAGAACTAGGTATACGTACTATGGTTGAAATTGACAAATGCAATATTCCAAATTAGGCATATTCGTCTCAGAGACGACCCAGATGGATAGATTTAGTCACACAATTGAACATATATTGAGCCAGACACTTTTGTATGGAAATATTTTTTCTTTGAGGAGTTATTTACATAAAATAAAAAGCATAGAGTTTTAGTGTATGTCTAGGTATTATTTTAGATCTAGGAATATTGAATTACTTTGCCTTTGGTCTAATGGAGTTATATTCTAAGAGTTTCTGGATAGCTTTTTATTGACAAATTTCTGTCTGAATTTAAAGTTGCTTTACTTGTACATGGGAGTTGTCACAGAGGAGTGTATATTAGTATAAATTGTCAAAAATATTATCTGAAAGGTCAAATCAGTATTATCTTAGAAACAGTAAAGGAATAAAAACTGAGGCTGATAGAGGCTTCACTTTTTAAAAAGATTTTCTTGAATTTTTATTGCCAGAAAAGTAAAGTTGATAAATATTCTGGATTAGTACATTAAATGACTTGGTAGAGTTGCATATAAAACTGTAAAATTTGTTGCATTGGTAAATAAAAGCAAATTGTTGCATTTTTGACAAACTTTCAAGCATTATAGAACTTTAATCTTGTTCCTTTTCCAGTTTCCTTTGCTCTGATTCTAAGCAGCATTTACAATAATTGTGCTCTCTTAATAATGATAAATTATGATTCTCAATCTTTTTGGTCTCAGGACTCCTTTACACTCATAGACATTATTGTGGGCCCCAAAGAGTTTTCCTTACGTAGGTTGTCTTGATCAGTATTGACTGTACTAGAAATTAAAACTGAGAAGTATTTTAAATGCTTATTAATTTATTTGATCATAATAACAAGCCCATTGCATGTTAGCAATGTATTTTTATTTAGAGACCCATGATTTTACACTGTTTGCAGATCTCTAATATCTGCCTTTATAAAAGAAAGTTGGATTTGCCTACTGCTTCTGCATTCAGTCCGTTGCATTGGTATTGTGGTTGAACTCTCCAGAGAAATCCAGTCTCATGTAAAGACTGTACAGATGTTTCTTGACCTAACAACGGGGTTGCGTTCCAATAAACCCATCGTATGTTGCAAATATTGTGAATGAAAGTGCATCTAAGACACATAAACTTCTGAACATCATAGTGTAGCCTGGCTGGTTTCTACTGAATGTACACTGTTTTCACACCATCGTAAAATTTTAAATTGGGATCATCTGTAGTTAGAAAAAAGAGGGATATTTTCATAGTTTGTTCAAGTGACTTTGCACTTCTGTGATACAAAACAAGAACTCAACATGTGATGCTTTCTTAAAGTTTAGTTACAATTTTGGACCAGAAACATTACGAAGAAACTTTTCCATATTCTGTTATATTAAAATCTATTGGTCTCTTTTTTTGTTCACTTTGGAAAGTTCTCTTAACCCATACATGATTTTGTGACATCATTCATTGGTCATTTGGGATATATTGGAGTAATGCAGATCTTCCAAGTGTTGCCACATTTCATCCTATAACAAATTAAATTCGGTTAAGTTAAATTTAAAAAATTAATAGTGCCACTGATCTTGTCAGAAAAGTAGGTACTGGAAAGCTGTTAAGCTTGTAATGACACGTTACATTTTTCACAATTCTGATTGTCACTTGAAGGTTTGAATTTTATTATTGGTAACCGCATTCTGTCAATGGTTTTCCTTCAAGTGTTACATTCACTCATTTTTTAGAAAATATTTGCCATACACCCACATGTGAAAAACCATAGTTGGTCAATTATTCTTTCAACTAAATGGGGTTCCATGAAAAAAAATGGCTACTTCAGCTCACAAATCACAGTCGCACCGGTACTTTTCCTCAAGAATAAACAAGCGTACTTTGGAATGCAGGTGAAACGCTTTGTGTACTGCCCATGTTGACAAACAAAATATTAAAAATATACTCAAAAATCAAGATTTAATAAAGCTAATCATACTTACTGATTCACCAAGGGGATTACTGAAGACATCGTTTGTATATTCCTGCTTTTGAAGCACTTAAAATATATAGCATCCTTAAAGATTAATATCTATTTAGCATTGTTAGAAACAGACAAAAACTAAAAATACAGGATAATATTATAATACTGCAAAATCATTTGAGAAGCCGCCAGATCCTGTAGAAGAACAAATGCATGCAAACGCTGCTCGAGGCTGACCAATTACCCATAGGAGCAGCAATTATATTAGCGTGCAAGGGCAATTGGAGGGAAAATTGGACCCTGTGGACATCCAGCTGAGCAAACAGGACTGAGGAAGGATAGAGGATGTGTGTTAGTTTGAAAAAAATACATCTAAGCTTGCTTAAAAAATATTTGTATCCGTCACAGCACATTCTTTGTATGTCTTCTGGTTGCTCATGGTTTTCAAATTAGCCCTCTTCTCCAAACAAAAGAGCACCTCTGCTTAAAGACCAAACACCCAAATAGCAATGTGTTTTGCACATAAAAAGGCCAGAATAGTTCAGGAAATGGGAAACTGAGTACACATACCCAAATGTTCAGATGCTACTGTACATATACACATGTGTCACCAGTAGTAGTTCACCTGTGGCATGGTCTAGTTATGTATCCTTAATGCTGAAATTTATTATTATAACTAAAAGTGTTCCCTAGCTCTAACTTGTGATGATTTTTGACAAAAACTTAATGATTAAGGATCTAATAGGGTGTGGAGGTTTTATAGTTTCATATTGAACGATGGATGAGTAATCCTTGATGAATAAGTGATCACATCAAGTTAATGAAATTTATTGTATAAATTGTACGGTAAGCTGTGTAGCTGTAAGCCAAATAACCCTCATTCTATTGAACAGGTTCACATTTAAATTGCAACTAGAAGTAACTGATTTCAGAGTTTTTTGGGGTAGTCTACGCTTGTTATGACTTGACGTTCTTGAGTGTTTGAAAGCATTTCAGGTATTCTCAACATGGAAAAGTACCCACAATATGGAAAATAATACATGTGCATTTCTTTGGTTTTGGAAATAATTTCAGTAATTTGAATGATCATGATATTCATACCCTTGTAGAATTTTCTCCTTTTCCCTCCCTGGGGTTAACACAATTCTAAGTTTGGAATGTATCATCACATACATGTATTTATATTTTTATGTGTGTAAACATGAAAAATAGTTTGATCAATGTTTAAAATTTATATAAACCTTCTAGCACTCCCTGCTTTCTTTCCTCTAGAGCACTTACCATCTACAATAAAATGTGAAAAATCCCCATTCCCACTGTCCTTCACAAAGGTAGCTACTGGCGGTAACTTGGTCTCTATTATTCCTCTTCTGAATGTGACATGCATGATTGTTTGGTTTTCTAGGGAAACTAACTTCTGTGATTTGCATTTTTAAAAATAATATATTGTGGTGATCATCCCTATCAAGACATAATAGTCTACCCCATTATTTTTACCTTTTCTGTAGATTGTATCATCAGTATCCTCTAATTTATTTAATCATGCCTCTATAATAAACATCAAATACTATTTTTCCCTATTGATAACAATGCTGTAGTAAACACTCTTGTACAAAAATCTTTGTAGCCAATTGCTAGTATTTTGTAGGTGTATTCCTAGAAGTGAAATTGATAAGTCAAAGGATGCAGACATTTTAAATTTTGATGAAAAATACCAAACTGGCTTCCAGAATTCTTTAATTTACACAGTCTCACTTGATCCTATTAATTTTTTAAATTTGTGCCAGTCTAATAGAGATGAGCATCTGTTCATTTTTCCCCCTCCAGATTCCTTGTTTATGTTGTTTGGGCCATTTACTTCTCTTTGTTCAATGTTACTAACTTTATATTTTCTGGATATATTACTAAATTTTAGCTGTTTCTTATTTTTCTTTATGGTGATTGTTCTGGTAATCATCATATGTTATTTGCTGTGTAACAAATAACCCCAAACTTAGTGATATAAAACAACTAACCTTTTTCTTTAATGGTCACAGATTTTATGTGTCAGGGATTCAGAAAGGGCACAATAGTTTTTCTCAGCTAGAAATACATGAAGACTGTGAAGCGGGGTGAGTGTTACTGGAGACTCACCAGCCAAAGCCTCATTTACTCACATGTCTGATGCTGGCTGTCAGCTGGGACCTCAGTTGGGGCTGTCATAAGGAACACCTTCATGAGCCTTTCCGTATGTGTGCCTGTGTTCCAAGAGAGAGTGGTCCAAGAGAACCGGGCAGAACTTGTATCACCTTCCATGACTGGTCTCAGAAACCACAGCCTGCTTAGTCACAAGCCAGCCCAGATTCCGTGAAAGAGGATGGAGACTCCACATCTTGAGAAGAGTGTCAAAGACAAATGTCACAAGAAAAGCATGTTGCAAGGGAGATGTTGTTGAGGACATCTATGGAAAATAAAATTCATCACAACCATTATGTTTTATGGAAGAATTCAATGACCTTGAACTAAGACTTCTGGGTTTTATCTTGTTTAAAAAGGCCTTTCCTAAATCAGGATTATGTATTTTTCTTTACTTTTCAAAAAAATTTCAATCATTTTACTCTTTTGTACTTGTTGCTGAGTCCATTTGAAATTTATCTTTATAAACTTAGTCACTTTCAATGGTTTTGTATGTTTCTGTACAATTTTATTTTTGTAATAAAGGTATACTGGGAGACTAACTTTAATTTTTTAGATGTACAAATATCACCAACACATTTAGATGCACAAAATATCAACCAACACATTTTTATATAGTTTACTTTGTCTCACATCTGATTTATAATGTCACTATGTTCTTGAAGTTATGTAATATGTATTTAATTTTTTAAATTATTTTTATTGATTTTAGAGAGAGGAAGGGAGAGGGATAGAGAGATAGAAACATCAATTGATTGGCTGCCTCCTGCATGCCCCCTACTGGAGATCAAGCCACAACCCAGGCATGTGCTTTGCCCGGAAATGGACCCATGACCTCCTGGTTCATGGGTCAACGCTTAACCACTGAGCAACACCAGCTGGGCATAATATGTGTTTAATTCTAATAATTATTGGTAACAATTTCAGAAGCATTTACCTATGTTTTTCTAATTGTAACCTGGTATTTTTTTATAACCTTCATTTATTTGAAATAAATGTTTCATATTGCTGTTCCCTATTCCCACTTATATGCATAGGTTTTAGAATTTTATATTATTACTAGAGGCCCGATGCACAAAAATTTGTGCACTCGGGGGGGGGGGGTCCCTCAGCCCAGCCTGTGCCCTCTTGCTGTCTGGGACCCCTCGGGGGATGTCCACCTGCTGGCTTAGGCCCGCTCCCCGGGGGATTGGGCCTAAGCTGGCAGTCAGACATCCCTCTGGCAGCCTGGGAGCCCTCAGGGGATGTCCACTTGGCAGCGGGGAGCAGGCCTAGCTGCAGTCAGACATCCTTAGCGCTGCTGAGGAGGCAGGAAAGGCTCCTGCCACCACCGCTGTACTGGCAGCTGTCAGCCTGGCTTGTGGCTGAGCAGAGCTCCCCCTGTGGGAGTGCACTGACCACCGGGGGCAGCTCCTACATTGAGCGTCTGCTCCCTGGTGGTCAGTGTGTGTCATAGTGACCAGTCATTCCCAGTCTTTCTGCTGTTAGGGTCAATTTGCATATTACCCTTTTATTATATTAGATTTTAAGTCTTCCACTTAAAAGTCAACTGATCAGCTTTATCTCACTATAGATTAGGTTTGCCTTTTCCAGAACTTCACTTACATGGAATTATACAGTATGTCCTCTTTTCCCAACAGGCTTTTCTGCTCAGCATGTGTTTTGAGATTCATTCATGTTGTGAGTATCAGTTTGTTTCCTTTTGTTGAGAGATAGTCTATGGTATGAATTATCCTTAATTCTTATTGATTTCAATTCCTGAAATATTTGTTAAGGATTGGTATTATTTCTTTAAAATTTAATAGACTTCGCCAGTGAAACTAACTGGACCTGGGCTTTTCTTTGTAAGGTTCTCAGTTATTTAATTTGTTGTTACAGCTCGATTCAGGTTTTCTAGTCTTAAATTTGGGGCATTTGTCTTTTTACATCCTTGGATAAATTTATTCCTAGGTATTTTATCTTTTTTAATGCAGTTGTAAATGGGATTGTTTTCTTAGTTTCCCTTCCAGTAGGTCATTATGGGTGTATAAAAATACAACCAATTTCTGGATATTTATTTTGTATTCTGCTATTTTACTGAATCCTTTTATCCGTCCTAGTAGTTATTTGGTGGAATCTTTACGGTTCTCCATATACACCATGATGTCATCTGAAAATAATGACAGTTTTACTTCTTTTCAGTTGTGATGCCTTTTATTTCTTCTGTTTCATTGCTGTGTCTAGGATTTCTAGTTCTATATTGGATAACAGTGGTGAGAGCAGACATCCCTGTCGTACTCCTGATCTTAAGGGAAATGCTTTTAGTATTTGCCTGTTGAGTATAATTTTCGTGTGAGTTAGTCATATGTGGACTTTTATTTTGTTGGAGTATGATTACTGTATTCCCACTTAGAGTGTTTATCATAAATGGATGCTGGATTTTATCATATACTTTTTCTGCATCTATTGATATGATCATGTGGATTTTTTTAATCCTTCATTGTTTTTATGTGGTGTATCACATTTATTGACTACAGCCCCATAATAAATATCATTTGATCATGGTGTACAATCTTTTAAATATATTGTTGGATCCAGTTTGCTAATATTTTGTTGAGGTTTTTAGCATTTATGTTTATCAAAGATATTGGCCTATAATTTTCTTTCTTTGTAGTGTCTATCTGGTTTTGGAATTAGGATAATGCTGATGTTGCAAAATGAGCTTGGGAGTCTCCCCATTTTGGCGGGGTGGCCTTATGCTGTGGGTGTCCTATGGGCTCAGTGGTGCAGTCTCTGAACACCTGAGCTCGATGCTCCAGGAATGTCCCTTGTGAGCCCTTTTGTTGTCATCGAGTCTTGATTACTGTTGGCCCTTCCAAGGGTGCAATCACCATTGGGCTGGCTGAATATGAGGATCAACCCTACCACAGTATACAAAGCTGCTTTGTGGGGATTGACCTCACAAGGAGGAATTCAGCTTAGTAGTGTCTGGTGCCTGCCAAGATGTCCCATTGGGTGTGCTGCTCAGCTCAGGTGAGTTTTGGAGCAGGGTGGAGCTAATGTGGGTTAGGGGTAGGGATGGGGGACCCGGATATGGGGCAGGGCACAGGCAGGATGGATGGGACCTTCCAGCTGGATGTGTCACTCCAGGCCCCTTCATCTCCTTCACTCCCAGCTCCTCCACCTCCCTCGCTCCCTGAGATCTCAGCCCTGGGTCATGGCTCACAGTGGACAAGGTGACCTCGGATGTAGAGAACTCCCAGCACCTTAAAATTGTGCTTACATTAGACTGAGAATCTCCACTTCTAGAGACTCGTCCCAAATGCTAAATAAAGATTTATGGACATAGATATTCGCTTTAGCAAGATGATGGGAGTGAAAACCGAAATGGCTCATGTTCCACAGCAGGGGCTTTGGAAATTCTGATGTGGGGAGACGGGAGGAAAAGGACTGACTGGCAGTGTTCACCTCTAGGGAAATAAAGTTCTGAGAGGGCACATGCCTGGGAAGCCTTCCTGCCCAACATCCACAAGTGCACACACACACATACTCATGCAAATATGCACAGGCACCCACACATGGGCACAGAAACGCGGGTGCACACAAGTGCATATGCCAACACACGTGTGCACACACAGAAAGTATTGGGACAGTGAGCAGCCCTGTCAGGGTTCTCCATTCTGGAAGGACTTTGTTCTTTACTTGATTCTGACTTGCTTTAGAATTCATTATTGTACTATAATAAACCTTTGTTTTTCTTGTCATAAGTTCTTTAAAAATTAAAAACTAATGTACGTTACTCCAAGTGTATACATTGAACGTATGACTTTAATATTTTTAGAACTATCAAATTCATCAATGCATTATAAGGAATGTAGACATCACCTCAAGGAGAAGAGATTTGCAGGTCCCGCCCTAGAGGTGACTCAGTGGGTATCTCTCAGGCTCTGCCTCTCTCATTCTGTTTGTCTCTGTCACAGGCAGACTCATTCTCCATATGCGATTCTGCCTGTTGACATCACATATAGGGGGTCTAACAGGTAGGATCTTGGATGCAGACGGGGTCCACATGTCTCACGTGAGAGGACCCATGAGGTCTTTATCTCCAGGCACGTAGAGACCCCTGCACCCACTTTAGCAGCTGCTCAGCTTCTCTTGTCCATGTGGACCAGGATTGGTGGATCCTATCCCCTCTCCATGGACATTAGTGTTTTTCCAATTCCCAGCTATTTCATCAATGCTCTGGTGGGTTGTCTGGAAAATACACCTGAACAATTGTGCAAGCGTATCTGTGGGGGAACCTCCTAGGGCCGTGGTTGGCAAACTGCGGCTCGCAAGCCATATGCGGCTCTTTGGCCCCTTGAGTGTGGCTCTTCCTAAGCCTTAGGAGTACCCTAATTAAGTTAATAACAATGTACCTACCTATATAGTTTAAGTTTAAAAAATTTGGCTCTCAAAAGAAATTTCAGTCGTTATACTGTCGATATTTGGCTCTGTTGACTAATGAGTTTGCCGACCACTGTCCTAGGGGGAGCCCTGCCAGTGTAGGTGTGCCCTTTAGAAGCACCGACTTTCCAGCATTTTCTACACCACAGGGATGTGACACCTCTCTCTGGCCTTAGGTTGTGAGGAATATTTTCCAGCCGGCTCTGAGGCCTTGATGCATTTTCCACAGGCTGCTGCTCCTCAGGGCAGGTTCTGGAGAGCTTTCTTCAGCCAGGGGTGGTGGGTCCTCTGTTAGGTCAGGTGCTGCTTCACAGGCCAGCCCCAGCTCTAGAGCTGCAGCTGGAGTGGCTGCTGGAGGTGGCAGGACCACTGAGGTGACACCCCTCCAGGTCTGCCCCTGCATCAGGCTCCTGGGAATGGACAGTGAGTGTTAAAGCAAGAGTCCGCTCTGCCTCCTGGGCTGGTGCTGCAGTTGCGAGAGAAAAAAAGATCACCCATGTGCCTGCATGTCCATGTGCCCCCCAAAGACAGAACACAGCTATAGCCCAGAACCCAACACAGAACAACCTCCCCGCCCACAGTCCAGCAGTGGCTCTGTGGCCGTGGCTGGCTGAAAGCAGGTATCTGGGGTTTGTTTAGCTTCTATAATTGAAACATTGTTGCTTCCGGAGCTCAGAACTGGGCCGCGGCGGGCGGGGAACCTTGGGTTTCTCCATCACTGGAGCAAGCAAGCCTCATGTTCGCTTCAGCTGTGTGGCTGCTGGCCGCCATCTTTGTTGGCGGTTAATTTGCATATCTCGATTAGCCAATGGGAAGCGTAGCGAAGGTATGGTCAATTACCCTTTTTGTCTTTTATTAGATAGGATGTTTTAAGCCATGTGTCTATTAATTTCCATCATTTCTGTCATTTTTACATTTATTTTTATTGACTAACTTTCTTCATCTTATGAAGTTACTTATTTCTATGTCTGTGAAATTGTCCCATCACCCCTATTTTACAGGTGAGAATATGAGGGTTATTAAATGGTGGAGCCAAAATTCAGACCTAAAGTCTATATTTTTAACTGACAGTGCTCTTCTTTCCCCAGATTGTACAGCTGGCTCAGTCTTAGT